TGGAGCTTCTTCTACAGAGGCCTCCTCAGTTGGTGGGGGTGGAGCTTCTTCTACAGAGGCCTCCTCAGTTGGTGGGGGTGGAGCTTCTTCTACAGGGGCCTCCTCAGTTGGTGGAGGTGGAACTTCTTCTGCAGGGGCCTCCTCAGTTGGTGGAGGTGGAACTTCTTCTGCAGGGACCTCCTCAGTTGGTGGAGGTGGAGCTTCTTCTACAGGGGCCTCCTCAGTTGGTGGAGGTGGAACTTCTTCTGCAGGGGCCTCCTCAGTTGGTGGGGGTGGAACTTCTTCTGCAGGGGCCTCCTCAGTTGGTGGAGGTGGAACTTCTTCTACAGGGGCCTCCTCAGGTGGTGGGGGTTGAGCTTCTTCTGCAGGGGCCTCCTCAGTTGGTGGAGGTGGAACTTCTTCTGCAGGGGCCTCCTCAGTTGGTGGAGGTGGAACTTCTACAGGGGCTTCCTCAGTTGGTGGAGGTGGAACTTCTACAGGGGCCTCCTCAGTTGGTGGGGGTGGAACTTCTTCTACAGGGGCCTCCTCAGTTGGTGGAGGTGGAACTTCTTCTGCAGGGGCCTCCTCAGTTGGTGGGGGTGGAGCTTCTTCTACAGGGGCCTCCTCAGTTAGTGAAGGTGGAGCTTCTTCTGCAGGGGCTTCCTCAGTTGGTGGAGGTGGAACTTCTTCTACAGGGGCCTCCTCAGTTGGTGGGGGTGGAGCTTCTTCTACAAGGGCCTCCTCAGTTGGTGGAGGTGGAACTTCTTCTACAGAGGCCTCCTCAGTTGGTGGGGGTGGAATTTCTTCAGGGGCCTCCTCAGTTGGTGGAGGTGGAACTTCTTCTACAGGGGCCTCCTCAGTTAGTGGAGGTGGAACTTCTTCTACAGGGGCCTCCTCAGTTGGTGGGGGTGGAACTTCTTCTGCAGGGGCCTCCTCAGTTGGTGAGGGTGGAACTTCTTCTACAAGGGTGTCTTCAGTTGGTAGAGGTGGAACTTCTTCTGCAGGGGCTTCCTCAGCTGGTAGAGGTGGAACTTCTTCTGCAGGGGCCTCCTCAGTTAGTGGAGGTGGAATTTCTGCAGGGATGTCTTCTACAAGGGTGTCTTCAGTTGGTGGAGGTGGAACTTCTGCAGAAGTCTCTTCCCCAGGGGCTTCCTCAGCTGGTGGAGGCGTAACTTCTGCAGGAGCCTTCTCTGCAGGGACTTCCTCGGTTGATGGAGGCTGACCTCCTTCAAAGACCTCTTCTGCAGGCAATTTCTCATCTAGTACAAGAACAATTTCTGCAGGCACTGCTTCTATTGCTTGCTCATCTAATGGTGGCTGAACTTCCACAGGTATTTCTTTAGAAGCCTCTTCAGATGGTAGAGATTGAACTCCATCAGTGGACTCCTCAGCATCAGCAAGCTCTACCTTGCCTGAGCTTTCAAGGAGAGCCTCAGTTGCTAAATTTTGGACTTTCGCAAGCACTTCTTGTGAGAGTGCAACCAGAATTTCAGTAGGAACTTCTGAAGGAGCCACTTCAGCTCCTTGGGATTTCTGTTGATCATCAGACTTGCCTGAAAGAGCCCCTTGCACTGACAGATGGCTGATGTCAACAGGAGCTTCTACAGAAGGAAGCTCATCAGCTGGTAGAGCCTGGATCTCGCCAGAAAACTCCCCTTCAGTGAAAGGCATTATGGCATCTGGGATTTTTTCAGTTGACAGTACCTCTATTTCAAGACAACCATTTACTTCCAACAAGGAACCCTCTTGGGCAACAGGTACTGTTTCCTCCTTTGACTTAATCAGGGAACTGTCTGGCATAGACATGATAGTAATTTCTAACTCACTAAAGTATGTCTGCTGTTCTTTGTCCACTTTATCTATAGAGCAAATGTTCAACAAATTCCAGTCACCAGTACAGCTGGTCTGCTGAGATCTGTCTATTAAGTGAGTTGTGGGTCTGTTTGTTGGGATCTCTACTTCTGGAACACTCTGTGGTAATTCAGAAGCTGTTTCTCCAACACTGGCTGGAGGTTCTTCAAGGGTAAGGGTTTTATCAATGAATAGGACTTTTTCTTCCACAGGAACGTCTGTCTGTAGAGATTTATCAGTCATTTCCATGCCTCGCTTTCTCTTTGTCCAAGTTTGCTGAAGTTGAGAAGAAAGTCTAAGAGACTCATATTCTTTACTAGAGGGGTTGCCTTTGCTTCCAGAAATACTACCAATACTGAGGGTAGCTTTAGGGGCAGGAGGTTGTACTACAGCCACAGGTTTCTTTTTTTCTGTCACATCTGTCTGCTGGGACTTGTCTACCATTGGTTGGCTGGGTCGTCTTCTCCTTCTAAATTCCTGCCTCCCTAAGGAGATAGGCTGTTCAGGTTCATCACTTTCTTCCATTTCTATGACCAATGATATCCAAATTTCTCAGTCTTCAAATTATTAATCATTAAGAATCGTAAATGTACCCAGTGGTTAAGTCTTTGCCCTCCTTCATTGAGTTTTTCTATTGAGCTCAGGAAAAAAATAATTCATAAGTTATTTCATTCTTCACTACCCTCTTGTTGGATCCCACCTTATTCATTCATCATCTTTCTTGGTTAGTCTCTATGAGGATAACCTCACTTTTAGAAGTTTCCCTCAAGGGTCTGTGACATCACAGCCACTTCTCCTTATAAGGTTCCGGAAGTTATATTCTCAGCAGTCTTAAGCTTGGTGTATTCACATAAGCAATGACTAAAAGTGAGGTGTCTAGCTTTAAAAAAAAAAAAAAAGAAAACAGGTTGAAAGAGACATTTCTTTCCCAAATGAACAAGAATTTAACTCCAAGAATACCACTAATTGTTAAAGGTGATGCTTTTTAGCTTGCAACTTCTTTTCCTCTTACTAACAAATCATAATACAGAACTCAGTATGCTGGAGAAGGTTGTCAATTATTAGAGTTAACATATGTGTAGAAATGTCTGCTAAACGGATGTTTATAGGACTTGAAAAAAGCTGCTACTTTTTAGAAGACTCGTGATTTGAAAGTCAATATCCACGGAAGATCCATATCTTTGCTTTTAACCTTCAGTGACCACAGCCATGTACTACCAAAAGATAATTCATGTTTTCAGTCTCAAACAACTTAAGGTATTTCTAATTTTATTTCTAGTTATTGTAGAAAGTAGTTTTACCCAAAGTTTTAAAGATGTGAAGCTACTGAACCTAAATATATGCCAAGGTGAAAAAAATGTTTTTAAAGCAGTCTCTATAGATTGTGCTGAACAACCACATGAAATGAATGCTACAACTGGAAAAAAATCATCTTTCTAGTAATGAATGGGACTGGTTTTATTGAGGGGTTTGATAGGGACAAAAGGAGAATGAGGGAGGCTGAGAGGGGAGGGCATTCAGAATATATTGTATACAATTTATGAAACTATCAAATAACAAATTAACTGATAAAAATTTGTATTGAATTGGAAAAGAGAAAACCCACAGAGGCATATCATAGGTGGCAAGTTCAGATTTTATCACATTCAATATATACGTGTGTGTGTGTGTGTGTGTGTTATTATATAAATAACCTATTACTCATATATAACACAAAAACACTACAAGATATAGATTGATCAAAAGACATGAAAAAATACTATTTAGCTGACAAAAGCAGGCAAGAAAAGAATAAAGTTTTAAAATGCACTCACAAGGGTCAAAATAATGAATGTTTGCTAAATAATAGCATTAATCCAAAAATATTTCAAAATTTTCTTTATTGCTTCTAGACAACATGAAAGCAAATTGAACAATGCCTGTTGACACACAGTGGTGCTATGGATGATATATACAAGGGTGCTATCCCTTGTATCTTCCTCCAAATTCATATATTGAAACCTAAGCCCAGAGGTTCTTCTAGAACCTTCTAAAATAAAACCATCTACAAAGTAGAAACACAGATCAACTGACACACTGATTACCTTAGACTTTCAAGTCTCCAGAACTCTGAAAATACATACTTGACAACTGACTTTAAATTCAAAATAATCAATGAATATTCCCAATACAAAAATATATTTATTTATGATATGATGTCATATCATATTACAAATACCTGTGATGATAGATATGCCAGTTATTCTAATCATTACACATTGAATTCATACATTGAAAGTCAACATATGATTGAATCTTAACCCATGTGTTACAATTACTATGTCAATTAAAAATAAAAATACATAAGAACTTTATCTTACCTAATTATGACTGAATTCTTTTAGTATATTCTTTGTTTCTACTAGTAATAGTGAGCTCATAGCCACGACTGATCATGCATATACAATCAATTAATGATTCTACCTAAGATTCTAAACAGGCTTGTGAGGCACTTCATGGAACATTTTCTCATGCTATTTTTTTTCTTCTTCTTCTTCTTTTTTTTTTTTTTACTGAAAATATATTCTTTTCTCAAACAATATATCCTGATTACAGTTTCCCCTCCCTCTACTCTTCCAAGCTCCTCCCCCACCTCCCCTCCTTTACAGATCTACTCCCTTTCTGTCTCTCCTTAGAAAACAGCTGACTTCTAAGAAGAGGTAGCAGCCAAACATGACAAAATAAAATATAATAAGATAAAACAAAAACCATCACATCATGGTTGGACAAGCAACTCAATAGAAGGAAAAGAGCCTCAAGAACAGGCACAAAAGTCAGAGACATGCTCATCCACACACTCAGGAGTCCCATAAAAATACTAAGCCGAAAACACATGTATGCAGAGGACATGGTGTAGACCAGGTTAGACTCTGCACTTGCTGCTTCAGTATCTTTAAGTTCATATAAGCCTTGCTCAATTGATTCAGGGGGCCTTATTCTTCCGGTGTCCTCCATACCCTCTGACATGGACACTCTTTCTTCTCTGTGGTCCCCTGAGCTTTGAGGGGAGGGATTTGATGGAGATATCCCATTTAGACCAATGTGTTTCCAAGGACTGTCTCTTGCTGTGGATCTCAGCATCTGTTTCTGTCCACACCAGGAAAAGCTTCTCTGATAATCTCATACTTTTTCTTAAGGCCTACAGATGCTTTCACAGATGTTTCAAGTGGTGATCTCATTACTCTCTGTTTAAGGTTTGGAATTTAACCCTTTTTCTTGGTAATCTCACATGACTTAGAACTTCTCACTTGATTCACATCTATTGATTTTTAAACTATGATTCCCAAATGAAATTGAAATTCTAATTTTATTACCTGTAGATGTGACATTATTTAAGAATAGGGTGTTGACGGGGGGGCATGAAGATATACTCCTTTAATCTCAGCACTTAAGAGACAGAGGCAGGCAGATCTCTGTTGAAAGCCAACCTGGTCTACAAACAGGTTCTAGGGCCAGACAGAGCTACACAGGGAGACCTGATCTTTTTTTTTTTTAAGTCTCTGCATATGTAGTCAAATTAAAATGCTAGTCTTATGGGAAGAAGAATATTTAGACACAAAGACAGAGAAGATGGGGGTAGAAAGAGGAGTTTGCAACACAAGGTGGGAGGTGTCCAAAGTTACCAGAACACATGAGGGATAATGAAGCTGAACCCCAGGAGAGTGCCTACCTCTGCCACCAACTTTATTCGGGATTTGTAGCCTTCAGGAATGTGAGAAAATGTATGTCTGTTGTTGAAACCCACTTTTGGGAACTTCCTTGTAGAAGCACTAGTAACTACTGTAGCATGGTTTCCCAGCTCCACACTCATGACTTCTGCCTTGCTGGCACTTCTGGCTGAATAACTGGGGCATTTATATTCAGACTCAGAACTGACAAGTATTTTGATACTGTACATGACATATTCCCATAATCAAAGAACCAGAGGGGTTTTCTAAAAGGCTTCTGCCAGTTAATTTGCATTTAATTTTACCAAAAATAAATTTTCTGAATAGCACTTAATTTCATTTAGAATTTTAATGAATTTGAAAGCCATAATTTAGAGGTATCAGACATGCTTCAAATTAATATGGACCTAATATATAAACTGTGACCTATAATGCTTTGTTCCTAACTGACTAGATCAGATAAGATAAAGCCTGGAATATGTTCTTAGATCAATGGATGATAAGGGCAGTGGGTATAAAATGTAAATCTCTGTGTGCCTAAAAGTAAATTAAATTAATGTCAGGAGAAACCATAAAATTATGCCAAAATATCACATAAAGATCCTTAATGTCCAAAACACTTTAGGAATCAATATGAAGATAGAGACAGTAGAAGACCAAAGACCACTAGTAAAAACAAAATTATAGATGAAAACAGATGACCAAAAAAATACATGAGAAAGATTACCAACAATTATATTTTCAAGAAACTTGAATATTGGAAATAATAGCTACCTCAAGGAATATTTTTCACATGTATATATTCCAAAGATATTTCAGATGTTAGGAAAAAACAAACAAAACAAGATGGCATGGTTTCCTGCCCTCATGGACCTTACTTTTCTATAGGAAAACTTAGTGTACACAACCTTAACCAGACATCTGCAATGAAACCATGCGCTGGTGGGTCTGCAGGAATCATTGTGTATATGAACTCACTGCAGCTCTGTAGTGGGTAGCCATTCCAGCTTGGATCTGGAAGTTCCAACCCCCATTGAGACTCTGGCAACTGTCACGCCTAGGAGGCAGGTGGGGCCAGGGGAGGCGCCTGGAGACCCCAGAGCTGGATGGGCCAGCGCTCTCTCTCTCTCTGTGCACTCTCTCTGTGTCGGGACGCTGAACTGTGGACCACATGCTGCTGGTCAAGGCGGTGGCTGGCAGTGTCTCTCTGCCTCAGCCTTCTGCTTCCCAGAATTCTCCTCTCTCCTTGTCCCACCTACTTCCTGCCTGGCCACTGGCGAATCAGTGTTTTATTTATTGAACAATCAGAGCAATTTGACATACAGACCATCCCACAGCACACTACATCTGGTGTCAGAAGTGGGATGGGCCAGCGCTCTCTCTGTGCGCTCTCTCTGTGCGCTCTCTCTGTGCCGGGACGCTGAAAGGTGGAGATTGAAACTTCCAGATCCAAGCTGGAATGGCTACCCACTACACAGCTCTGACTGTATGCGTAAGACCCGCACAAGATCATGTCAGTGAAAGCTCTCAGCAGGAATCGGATAGGGGCTTATGAAATCCCACCTCTAGCTGAAGAGCTATTGGTACTTGATGGCTTCTGGGAGGAGAAAATTCAGTATTCGGTGGGGATATGGCCCCCAAAAGACTCCCCATGCTCCAGCAGAGTGTCCTACACCTATACCCATACAGGTAGCCCTAAGTGAACTCTATAGATTGTTTTAAAGAAGAGCACATGAAGTTGGTACGGAAAAGTATGTGGAGAGAGGAGAGAAACTGGAGGGGAAGGAATGGGGGCTAGACTTGATCAAAACCTATGTGTGAAATACTCAAACAAAAATGTGAATTGTTAGAAGTACTTTTAGAGGATGAGGAGAGAAGGATTTGTAGGAAAGAGTATGGAATTGAGAAACAATAAAAAGTGGGGGTTGTGTTAAGAAGCAATGTCCACATTCTTGGGAATTATGAAAGGAAGGAGGCCAGGAGTGGTGTGGTGGTACATAAAATGTGCTGGAAAAAGTTAATAAGAGGCACCATGACTTATAGAATATATCAAGAAATACTGTTTTGTTTTAAACACTAGAAAATTATTTTTGTCCTCTGTATTCAGATTGTTATGGGAAGAGGGGAGATGAGAATTCACTGCTGCATTGTAAATGGCCACAAATGTAGCATCTTTTTTTTTTTTTTCATGCAATAGCAAACTTTATTCAGGGCATCAGACAATTTATAGTCTCTGTGTTAGAAGAGTCACTTGAGTAAAGTGTAACATCTTAAACCAATACAGATGTACTATCTCACAGTTTCGATAAGAGCCAAGGCTAAGAGCAGAGGCAATCAACTGAATGTACCAGGCTTTGCTAACTCCCCATGGGAGGCCGGACCTTTTCAGAGCAGGGAATGGTGAGTGGGTTGGAAGTGGGGGGGAGCTGGGGAGTGGGAAGAGAGGTGAGAGGAGGATCTGTGGTTGGTATGTAAAATGAAAAAAAAAATCTTAATAAAGAAAAAATATACAAAAAAAAGAGCTGAGGCAAAGATGAGCAGAATTGTCTGTTATGAATCCCAGCAGGCTAAATTGTATCATTTGGGGGAGAAATTGTGATCTGTGTTCAGAGCCTCTTTCTGGCTCACTGAGCACCAGCAGAATGCTTCAGAATGCCTCTAGCCCTGTTTTTCTTGCTGGCAGACAACTGGATCAGCTTTCAACTGCTATCACGTCCTGGTCAAAATAGTCACCTTACAACATGGAAGGTTACAAGGACAATCTCTTTTCAGTGTGCTAGAGGAGAACCTTGCACTTTGCCATACAGCAAAACCTAAGTAGGAAAGTGAATAGTCCGTGTGATTTAGAGACTCCATGCACACACATGTTGTATAACGGCAGGGTGTGGGGTAGGGATCTTGGAGGTCATCATAGAGGTTTATGTGTCATGAAGGTAAGAATAAAATTCCAACAAGAAGGTACAATGCTAACAAGAAAGGAAAACCCATAGCAAAGCCCTTACCAGCATGCTTTTAAAAGCCAGGTAGAATTGGGACTGGAAAATATGACTGCAAGTAAATAATGAATGGACAGCAGTGTGGATAGAAATGAGAAGAGCGGATATATTGGTCCATGTTGTAATTAACAAGAATTGGATTAGAACTAGAGGACAAAGGAAATGCTGGCTTCTGGGGAAGAGAGAGTCGGTTTTCTTCAGGCATGTGCCCTATGCTCCGGTGGACCACATTCATACCAATGTACATGTGGGCAATACTAATTAGACTCTGGTTATAAAGGGAACTGGGGAGGGAAAAAATTGTCATAAAGTTCAGAGGGGGTATGGTGATGGCATCTACAAAGAGGGATGGGTAGGATCAAAATGCATTAAATAAGTGTATGAAATCCTCAATAAACAAAGATATTTTCAAAGGGATGATTGTCTAGCTAGTGGCTTCTAAAGCTGTGTGAATGGAAATACCATTTACTGAAATGGTGAGAGAGTGAGAAACAAGGATCAGCTCGTAAAAACAATATCCAGGCTTAAATTTGAACATTTTTTTTTGAGATGCCTATGGAAAGAAAAATGGAGGTGTTAGGAGATTTACTGGATGAACAACTCCAGATATCATAGGGACAGCATGAGATACACTTGTGACATCATTGGAAATACAGGCAATACTGACAGTCATGAGTTGGATGTGCTGACCTAACAAAGTCCAAAAAGATACCTACGATTGAGCCTGCTAACCAGTAGAGTAGTTAATGTAAGACAGGAAAAGAAGCCAGCAAAAAACATAACTGAAGGTGAACATTCATAAATAGAAAACTGGGAAGCTGTGCTGTAGACACTACAGCAGAAAATGGTTGAACATAGTGGCTACTCTTGTTGGATGATGTGAGGGGTCTGATCTCTATCTGTCAGTGTGGTTGTTAACTGAATGGACCTAAGGTATTCTCATCGAAAAGTTTAGCTTGGAGCTATGTGGCATATACTGGAAGAAGGAATCTGCTCACAGGTAGACAACTCTCAAAAAGCTTTAAGCTAAAGGGAAAAAATATTTGTTATACTAAAAATTGGATGCTTCCAATTTTAATCATAAGGGAATAGCAAATAGCATACTTTTATTTTTAAATATTGTGTAACCATTAAGAACTATGCTACTAAAAATAGTAGACAGATAATAACCATGAATACATACTAATTTTAAAAGGAAGACACAAATTTTAATAAGCTTATTTTCACAAGATAAATATATTACACATATATATGCATATGTTTGTGTATACATGTTATATACACAAAGTTCTCACTGAAAGAAATAAAATGATACAGTTATAGGCTATATAATAAAGGATACATAAGTTATTTTGTTTTTTATCTTTTCTATGTTTCCATATGTTTCACAGTAAATAGTGTTTTCATTTTCATTGGAAAAGGTAAGGACTATTATGATATAGTAAAGTTCTGAAGCAATTAAAATATATACTGTAAAAAAATAGTAGAACTGATCAGCATTAACAGAACGTTGTCATTGAAGCATAAGTAAAAACCATCTAATCAGTTGAATCTTCAAGCCTTACAATTGTTTTTTCCAACTGTGGTCAGGAAACCTGTCTACAAATTCATAGAATCATAATAATTACATTGCTTCGCATTTTGGATGTTTTCCAGGGTAATGGAGCAGAGAAGTACAAAGGAACTGGAGACTAAATACAACCTAAAGCCATGTAGGATGTAAGACAAGTGCAAAGTGAAATTCAGAAAGAAAATGATAAAGAGGAAGTAAAGCTCAATGGGGAGAACTGGTAAGTCATGGAAATAACAAATAAGGAGGGCAGTCACAGTACTATGTGCTTGGGATAAAGTCAAGAGTGTACTTGAAATGAAATTGAAGTGTTAATTTGAAGAATTCAAAGACATTTTAAAATTAGACGTTGAGATAATCAAAGACAATTGACTGAGAATAGTGACTCCCCACTCAGTCTGAAAACTATCATTTCAGTACATATGCAGAAAAAGCCAAGAAACTCTCTGCTACAGAGACAAGAGGAGACAGAGACTGAGACAGACTGAGCTACAGCAGGGAGAAATTCAGTGGTCCCTTCATGTCTATATTTTCTCTGTCTACGGAGTCAATCAAAAACATTCATAAAGTGGGATAGAGAGTTGGCTCTGTGGTTAAGAGTACTTGTTGCTCATGCAGAGAACCTAGATTTGGTTCCCACCAACTACATGGTGGGTCATAACCATCTGCAACTCCAGTTTTAAGGGGTTCATTGCCCTTTACTGACCTCTAAGGGCACCAGTCATGTATACATGCAGGCAAAACTCATACATACAAAACAAAGCAAAACAAAAAAACCTAACAAAAATTATTTTTATGTTTCATGAAAAAATGTGACAGACATGTATGGTCTTTTTTATGTCATTATTTCCTAAACAATTATCTATACAGCATTTACATTGTATTAGGTAATGTAAGTAGTTTAGAGATGACTTAAAATTTATGGGATGATGTGCATAAATTATATAAAAATATTGGGCCTCTTTTTCTTTTATTATTATTATTATTGTTATATATGTGCATATATATATATAGTCACCTACTGTTAAAGTTCACATGAGCTACCATCTTGGGGTAAAAGAAAATTAAAAAGAGGGAAGAAAAGATCTGTAATGGTAGATAGAATACATCAGAATAATACATAATTTAACATTTAAAATACACACACACACACACACACACACACATATATATATACATATATATATACACACACAGTATATATACACTACTGAGTCCATTTTATTGTCGTACATAAAAGATTTTAAGGCTGACAATTCTGATGAACAACCAATAAGGGGCTCATCACCAGGAGAGTGTAATTCTCCTTCTCTCATTACTTGCCTGTAGTTCTTTGTCCAGGTGTGAGGTCCTGAAAATTTCCCCCTCTTCCATGCTAATATGTCCATCGATATTGCCACCTTCCAGTCTGGTTCTTGGAATCATTTTTAGAAGAAACTGTTTCACTACAGACTTCTTGGTATTGTGGCTCTGACGGTCTTTTGGCCTCCCCCTTCCACAATGTTCCATGAACCATAGATTCAGGAGCAGTGATGTAGATGTGTAGGTTGGGGCTTGGTTCCTTCTTTCCACTGATCTCTGCATTGTACCTCACCAGCTTCCCAGGGCTAGTGGGGACATGGGATGTAGAAAACAATCTACTACCACCATTTCACTAGGCCAGCATGATCCCTTGCAACATTTTAAATCTTATTTATCCTTACACCCACAGAGAAGTATAGCTACCACTCACTTCCTCTGAGAGTTAATATTTTAAAAAATAATTTCATAAAACATCATTCAAGGAGAAACAGTATTCATATTAACAATTCGCAAATATTCAGAAATCATTTACCACCTACTTAAATTTTTAAATTACATATTATTCTGATGTATTCTATCTACCATTACAGATCATCTCTTCCCTCTTTTAAATATCTTTTACCCCAAGATTGCAGATCATGTGAACTATAACAATCGATGACTTTACTTTTTTGGACTTTGGTTATATTCAGCAAATTAAGGGCATTTGGTAAAAGGCCTGATGGAGACTGAATAGCGAGGATCCTTGGCTCCCGAACTGAAGAGTTGCTTGGAAAAGGCCTAGTGAGGTATTTTCTCAGCCAAATGTCACAGCTTCTGTAAGATCTCACATACCCCTATGCATACAGTGAATGTGTGTGTGTGTGTGTGTGTGTGTGTGTGTGTGTGTGTGTGTGGTGTGTCTCCGTTTGTCTTTCATGTATTTATCCTTCCTTCCCCATTCCATCTTTCTCTTAATTTTATTTTTACTTTCCACATGGATAGTGATATTACTGGTTTCAGTTAACTGTCCTATTACTCTAGAAAGACATATATATATATATATATATATATATATATATATATATATATATATATATAAATTTGGCCACTTATTTATGGTAAATTGGTCAAATGGATTATTTCCCTATGAAACCATTGAACAACAGATCCTTTATAAATGTAATGGTCTGAAGATCTTTTAATGTCATAACCTTTGATGTGATTATATGGCATATAGTTTAAATTATAACTTCCAATTGAAAAGAATAAGCAGGCACCAAAATTCTTCTTCCTCTGACTTTAGAAAATGGTTCTGTTTTCTTAGAGTTCAGAATGTTCACAACCTGCTCTAACCAGACAAAGGAGCTGAAAAGGCAGTTTATAACAATTTTTTAAAAAATAAGCTCACATAATAAAATGAAATGAAATATTAATTTTATTATACCAGGCCCTTAATAAACAAGCCACATTCTAGGGGCCAGAGGAGGGCCTAGGAGAATGGTTAGCCTAGTTCCTCTCCAATGATGCAGGAATTCCCCTTCACAATGGAGAGAACTTGGCAATGAAGACAAAGTAACCACGATGCAAGGAAAACGATGTGAAGAAACAAGACACACAAACTGGGAGTCCCAGCCTCTGGTCAGAACTCAACTGCTTACAGAATAATGTCTCTTCCTTGGCCCAACCCAAAAATTAGCAACTCTAGCTGCTTTAATTTATTCAGAAAATGTTCTAATACAAAGGACTGAGAACTTTTCTAGGGCACAGTCATTTACCATTGAAAGAATCTTTTTTTTTTAAAGAGATTTTTCTATTCATTTTACATACCAACCACAGATTCCTTTGTCCTCCCTCCTCCCACCCCCTAGCCTTCTCCCTCCAACCCATCCCCCCATTCCCACCTCCTCCAAGGCAAGGTCTCCCATGGCGAGTCAGCAGAGCCTGGTACTTTCAGATGAAGCAGGTCCAAGCCCCTCCTTCCTGCACCAAGGCTTCGCAAAGTGTCTCACCATAGGCACTAGGCTCCAAAAAGCCAGCTCATGCACGAGGAACAGGTCCCGATCCCACTGCCTGGGGGCCCCCTAAATAGTTCAAGCTAAACAACTGTCTTGCTTATCCAGAGGGACTAGTCAGTACCAAGAGGGCTCCTCAGCTATTAATTCACAGTTCATGTGTTTCCACTAGTTTGGCTAGTTGTCCCTGTACTTTTTCCAGTCATGGTCTTGATATCTCTTGCTCATAAAATCCCTCCTCTCTCTTGTCGATGGGACTCCTGGAGCTCCGCCTGGGACCCGGCCGTAAATCTCTGCATCTGCTTCCATCAGTCACTGGATGAGGATTCTATGATGACAGTTAGGGTATTCAGCCATCCGATCACCAGAGTAGGTCAGCTTAGGCACCCTCTCGACCATTGCGAGTAGTCTATGGTAGAGTCTTTGTAGATTCTTGGGAACCTCCCTAGTACACTGTTTCTCCCTATTCCCATGGTGTCATCATTTATCATGGTATCTCTTTCCTTGTTCTCCCACTCTGTTCCCACTCCAGCTTGAACTTCCCACTCCCCTAAGCTCTCATTCCCCTGTCCCTTGCCCTCCATTATGCTCCCCCACAGTTTGCTCATGTAGATCTCATCCATTTCTCTATCACTGGGTGATCCGTGTGTCTTTCCTAGGTTCCTCCTTACTAGCTAGCCTCCCTGGAGTTGTGGTTTGCAGTCTGGTTATCATTTGCTTTACATTTAGTATCCACTTATGAGTGAGTACATACCATGTTTGTCCTTCTGAATCTGGGTTACCTCACTCAGGATGATATTTTCTAGTTCCATCCATTTGCCTGCAAATCTCATGATATCATTGTTTTTCTCTGCTGAGTAGTACTCCTTTGTGTATATACACCACATTTTCTTGATCCATTCTTCAGTGGAGGGGCATCTAGGTTGTTTCCAGATTCTGGTTATTACACATAATGCTGCTATGAACATGGTTGAGCATGTATCCTTGTGGTATGATTGAGCATTCCTTGGGTATATGCCTGAGTGGTGTAGCTGGGTCTTGAGGAAGATTGATTCTCAATTTTCTGAGAAACCGCCCTACTGATTTCCAAAGTGGTTGTACAAGTTTGCACTCCCACCAACAGTGTAGGAGAGTTCGCCTTGCTACTCATCCTCTCCAGCATAAGCTGTCTTCAGTGTTTTTGATCTTAGCCATTCTGACAGGTGTAAGATGGTATCTCAGAGTTGTTTTGATTTGCATTTCCCTGATGACTAAGGATGTTGAGCAGATGATAATGATAGTATACATAAGTGGCCCCAAAAATTCGACCAAGAAATATCTTTTTCTTCACCCAAGGATGTAGGATCCCTACATGGATTTAACATTTGTTCCCAATTCCTATTTCTTGAAAAGCTAACAGCAAAGAGAAATTTCTGTTTGTTTGTTTGTTTATTTTTGTTTTTCAAGACAGGATTTCTCTGTGTAGTTTTGGTACCTGTCCTGGGTCTTGCTCTGTAGACCAGGCTGGCCTCACAGAGATCTGCCTGGCTCTGCTTCCCGAGTGCTGGGAATAAAGGCATGTGCCACCACTGCCCAGCTGCAAAGAGAAATTTTTAAAAGCACATTTTTAGATTATAAACTATACATATATAAAATATTATATTTTTCTTCCAGACAATTTATAAGTACAGAGCATTACTTCTCCCAATATGGAAAATATAGGAGTTAAAATCTTATTAATGTGTTTGTAGAATGTGGTTACTTGCAGGACTCCTGTTAAGTTCAGTCTTTTCCTGAACTACTAATATATGACCCTGTTTGAGGAAATAATTATTCCATGTATAGCAATATGAATGAATTACTTGAATGAAAATTGTGTTATTCCATCAATACTTTTTAAAACTTTTTATTTCAAATTATATAGATGGGGCATCATGTAAACATGAAAATGCCTAAGCTCTTCTTGGACTTTTTCTAATTATAACAGAAGCAGGAATGCTCAGACAGAAAAGAAACTATTGAAAATGCAAATTCAGCTATTTGAAAGGCTATTAAAAATTCTTTATTATAAAAAGAAACCTAAAGATTTTAAACATGCCAAGGAAAAATGTTCTTAGAATAATCCTCTAGGGACAAATTATAAACTTGCTGAGAAAGAACTTCAGCGGGATGTAAGCATCCCTGCTACCCATTCTGACTTGAAATCGTGGAAGACTTGCAGATCGTTTGCACAAACATAAGCCCCAGCAGTTTCTGTAGAAAGAACATCAGACTTCAGTTTTACTCAGAGAAAATCTGAGTGGAAATCATCCACTTATAACCTCCCTTCTAGCCCTCTTCCCTCTGTGACATTTCACTTGATGATAAACTGACACATTTTAGAAAGAAAAAAAAAAAGCTTTTGCAATAGGATTGTAGGGCTTAAGCTATAGCTTAATTTTATCCAAGTAGCAGAGGAACTCAAAAACTTGAGTGAACCTTGACTGTTTTTCTCACAGGGACAGAACATCCCAATTGTCACTCAACACTTGTTTGCTTTATACAGCTCTGTATTACCAATTTTTTTAATCTTCACATCTACTATTTCTGAAAGCATAAAGCCCAACATACATATAACAAGAAACCATTACAACAATTGAGAAAAATATAAGACAATTAACTTATTTTATGGAAATTTCATGTATGAATACTGTATTTAAATCATTTCCCCCATCCTCTCAACTCCTCCTGTGTTACCCCCATTCACTCTCAAATTCATATGTTTGAGACCCCTTAATGTATATAAATATGTATTTTACATACACATATGACCTACTGAGTCCATTTAGTGTTGCTCAAAATCATATGTGTTTAGGGCTGAGCACTTGGTATTGAATAACCTATCAGGGTGTTTGTCGGTGGAGAAGACTGATTCTCCCTTTCTCAGTGGTTCATTGATTACTTGTAACTCTTCACCTAGGGGATGAGGCCTTGCAAGATTCCCTACATCCATGTTGGTATGTCATCTGGTGTTGTCCTTAAGTATGTCTTGTTTAGGCAACCATACTGTTGAGATTTCGTGGGTAAAGCCTCTTGTCATATATAGAAGACACTATCACGGGGTACCTATATGGGTCCTCTGGTCTGACAATCTTTCATGCTGTCTTCTACAATGTTCCCTAATATGTATGTGTAGAAATTTTGTTGGAAATGTATCATCTGGAGTTGGGCAGCCCATGGTTTGTTGTTCTCTGCATATTCACCAGTGGTAGATTCCTGATTGCTGTTCACAGGGAGTCCAAGAGATTTCTGGAACAGTAGGCTCGTTTCCTCTAAGGACATAAAGGAAAAGCCCTATAGCTCAAGACACAGCGTACTTAGGACACAGTACTTGGAAGAATCCGGCTAGAAACAAAACAGAACGCCTTCTACCTAAGGACTAGCTTTCCTAGAATCTAAAACTGTTATTCAAAATGCTGAAGGAGGAAAGCAATATTCCTACCAAAGTGTAATTCCTATGGTAATTCCTACCACAGACCATTGTGGAAAGATATCCACAAGGGTGAAATAGCAGCACTTTTATCTTGGTGGTAATGAACAGATATCTAATCAGACTTATGGCCCACTTATGGCCTGGTATCATAAACCTAGCCAACTACCTGGGGCTGGTGAAGTAATATACTCTAAAGAACCTACTATTGCAATTTCATTAAATGCTTATAATTTCTGTGTTCTAAATAGTTATCCTTATACCCACAGAGAAGTATAGCTTCCTCCTCTCATCAAAGGAGTTTCCTTTTGCAGCAGAAGGGGACCATTACTAAAATATTCTTGTCTACTGGATTGAATGCATAAAAGAACTAAAGCTCTAACTCAGCATAATCAAGCAAGTCCTTATACTAGATGTGCCCAGCCCTTGCTAAAAGGCCAAAGCTCTCTGGAGACAATAGAGGCGATTTGCACACACAAATGGAGCACAGCACATGACTCTGGAGATTCACTCTAAAAGTCTGACTTGTCAGCTCTAGCATTACAAAGCACTAAACCCAAACACTGTTCTCCAATGATAACATTGTTCCTAACTACTTGGCACCAAGAGTCGGGCTGGAAACCACTGACAGCAATAAAAAGCAAACCGAGAAAATGGGATCCCTTTTCTCTCACATTTTGACATGGCATTACACTGTATGTGTTCAGCACACAGCTAAATCCTTTTAGCTAAGCATGAAGCCCTCAGGGCTTGAAAGAAAAGTTTGATGATGCATTTAGAAACACTGGAACATATCAACTCAGTGTAAGTTTTTCTGCTTCAATTACGCAAACAAGCCACTATATACCACCCTCCTATTTCGTGATCAGTTATAAGAGAGCTGTGTAGAACAATTCTAATGGCACCTTCAGAGTAAATGCCAAATCAATTAACAGATATCAAATCAAAATTGGCTCAACCTGCAGCAGTGAATTCAAGACCGGCATGAACTGAAATTGGGTATATTTGACACACCCTGAATACTGATGTTGCATCAAACAAGAAGAGGAATTTCTAAATTTTGAATAATGCAACTGGATCCAGGTTACACGAGTCACACAGTACATCTGGATCTGTAGAGTGGTTATTCTACACAGACATTTATGCAATTGTAAACAAAGGCCTAATTCTAATGCTGAAATTTCCCTTAATAAGATGCAAAATGACTGCATAAGACATATAGTCTAAAACAAAGGTCTTTCTGAGAAGAAAAGTATTGATTCAATTTTCTAGTTAGCTTGTAAATATGTGTGGTTTTTTTCCTTTCATCAGCTCAGACTTGGATAGTGAAAAGAAGAAAAAAAATGAATAGATCCTAGCAATCTTTTAAAGAGCACCATAGGTGGTATGAGTAGAAAAGGCAGAAGATCCTGCCAGTAAATGTAAGTTATTTCAAAATATTCTCAAAGTTTGGCTTCATTGTGGAAAACCATTTCGAAATGCACTAATATATCAAAGCCCCTATTCCTCTCTGTGTTCAAGCATATCATTTAAAATTGTCAACCTGCACAATGAGAACACCAGTTGACAGGCAGACATGGATAAAGGGAATTCCCACAAGGCCTCATCTCCAGGTGAAGAGCTACAGACAACTGACCACGGCTGAGAAAGGAAAACCGGAGTTCCTCACTCATGATCCCCCTAATTATTTACTCAATATCAAGTTGTCGGCCCTAAAATCATAGACATACCAAAAAGATAAAACAGACTCAGGAAATTGCCCTTATATATTGGTATATACATTTACATGTCACAATAATAAAGAAAAAAGTAGTAAGCTAGCGCAGGGTTCTAGGACTATCCCTACCATGGACAAGGCCCTGGGTTTAATCCTCATAACTGAGAAGAAAGAAAGAAGGAAAAGAAAGAAAAGCAAACCAAACAATTAAATCAAATATAACTTTCCAGTGTGTAACAATAACATATAGGCAAAAGTAATTCCCAGATCAGTTTGTGCTTCTGTTGAGGAGAAATTTTCTTTTTTTAATTAATAAAATTTATTTATTCTATGTGTTTTTCACGTCATGTATCTTGATCCCATTCATTTCCCCATCCCTTCACATCCACCCTCCACCCCCTGCACGCCCTCCAAAAAAATAAACAAAATTCAAGAGAAAAAAAAATGAAGAAAATAAAATGAGAAAAAATTTAAAGGGAAGGAATTAAAAATCTCGTCATGGAAGCTGCAGTGTAACCCAACAAGTCATGCCCTATGCCTCTTCGTCCATACATCTCTACTTGCAAGTGTGTTCACTGAAAGAGTCCTTGGTCTGATTTAAGGCTCCTGATCTACATTACACATTCGATGCTGGGCCCCTACTGGGACTCTTCCTGGAGATCCTGCTCTTGCCCTGTGTTGTGGAGATCTTGCAGATCTGGGTCTGCAGGTCAGGTCCCTTCATGTGCCCCAGCAGATCTTAGATGGGGTGGATGTTGGGGCAGGCCAAGTCATAACCCTGAGTCTGGTCCTGGGCAGCCGTAGAGCTGGTCCACTAGATGGGGAATGGGAACAGCTGTCCCATGCTCATGATTTCGGGTGTGACTCACCCACACCTCCACTGGCAGGGTTGGATCTGCTGTGCTTCCCTGGCAGGGTACAGAGCCTGTTCTCCTGAGTGTTGCAGCTGGTGGGGATCGGAGACAGCTCTCCCACTCTTGAACCAGCTCTCCCACCTGCCCCAGGCATTGGTGCGCAGTGGGAAGGCTTCTTGGCCCCGTCCATACTACCACAAGACAGACGGAAAATGGGCATCTCTATTAACAGGGTTGACTATCATTTGGCTTTGTTGAGGTTCAGGGCTGGCTTGAGGAGCAATTTTCAATACTGAGCAGATAAAATCTCAAGAACACTGAGCTACCAAATTAAAAATATTACCAATTTTCCTGAGTGATTATGAATGACCCTGAAATAAATGATTTACATATATTCAGTTAATTGAATAATACCAATGTCAGAACACCCGGTGGAATTTTAAATAATGGTGGCATACTTATAATAAAAAGACACAATTTTGGGGCACAAATTTCCACAATAGAAAATTCAGATAAAGCCTAAAGAATAAAGATGAACCAGGACCATAGGGATATATGGAGGTGGACATGCTCCTTTTCCCCAGCCAAAAATAGTCTATACACACAATGTTTACCTAAATTCTTCAGAGTGATTTATTCTTTTTTGATCAACTAAGATGTTTGGATGACTTTGGGGGATGCTGAAAAATAGAATTTGATAATGGCCTACTTCATGTCAAGGAGAATGCTAAGCATTTCATCTGAATTATTTACTTGGTAAATATCTATTGAATATAGTAGGAATACTAATAGCCTGCCCCAAGAAGTCTATGTGCTAATATCCAGAACATGTGAACATACTTGTTTACATGGCAAGGGAGAATGGAAGTTGCATACAGAATTAACATTGTTAATCAGCTCAACTTGAAATGAGGAATTATCATGGGTTATCTTGGAAACCAAAATGCAACTATGGAAATCTTATAAGTCAGAAATACTGGCGTAAGTGATTTATAAAGGCTGTACAGGTAGAGTGAGGGGTAGAAAAAGCCACAAGCCAAGGAATAGAGAAGCCAGTAGAAGTTGACAAAGGCATGAAATACCCACGTAATACTGTGCTGCACTTCTTACACAGCTTGACTTGTCCAGAAACTCAGTACTCCAACTCCCTGCCATGCATTTATTTTAGTAAAAGTGTCCATCAAATCCAAGAAGGTTTGGAGAGAAACTCAGG